AATACCTCATCTCAGAAATATAGACACATATCCCGTAATAATCATGGCTCTCCACGGCTTCCTTTTTAAACTTTAATATCTCTAAGTTATAAATTGTCATGACTGATTTTTGGAGTAATGATAACGTCTTTCTTTCTCTTAGGTTCATTGTATATCACTACTGAAGGAAAAAAAAACCCTGTGCATTACACTATATTGTTCACGATGTTTCAACCATTGTACGCTCTGGCCTTCTTCAGGTGATATACGTTGGAATTTGGAACCGAACACTTCATTTCGTCCACAGGAAATAACTGAAATTGAGATATCCATCAAAGATACAGCGCGTAAAAGTTAGGATGATTTACCGGTGGACGAAATAAAGGGTTCTATTCAAAATTCCAACGTATATCGCCTGAAGAAGGCCGGAGTGTACAATGACCGAAACGTCGGGAACATGACAATAAAGATGAGGACAACAGCCCGAATAATGTAAATTGTTACAAAAGTTCACCTCAGAAATATAGACAAGTCCCGTGCTTATTTTATCCATAGATAATGAGATAGCTTCATGTTTTTTTCGAAGTAAGCATAAGTCTGGCCGATTCCAACTATTACACTACTTCTATGTGCGGTGCCCCTTCAGGACGTTGGCGATCATGCCTCTCCACAATTTCCTGTTCCTTGTAGCATTTTTGTCTGTTTGCCATCTCTCCCATGTTCTGCTCTGTCATTCATTCACTCTAGCTCGCCAGGTAGGCTATGTGTTGCTTTCTTCTGTCTCTTTTACCTTTAATCTGTCCTGTGAGTATCAAATTTTCCAAGCCCTCTTTCCACCTGTCTCTTCCTGATACTAAGTATAACTGTTCTTTTCGTTTCCATTGTCTCTAGTTTAGAAATACTTCTGTGAGATGATTGTGGCCACATCATCAGTCATGTTGCCCTGGGATCCTTTGGAGTTTTAGGTTGATGCAACATCAGATTCCTTCACTCAGGTGAACCTGACGGTGGGGGGGATCAAATACAAAGATGTAACCGCGCAAAGACCTGTGTTAAAATATCAATCGCAAAATGCAAATGGCTTTGAAACTAGAACTTTGTCGTTGCTCACGTGTTTGGTACATGGTATTCTTTTGTAGAACCACATTTCTGTCGTCTCTTCTGTCTAGTCTTTATCTGTGAGGAGATTGTATAGAATTCACTGCCATATAGAAGGACTGATATTACGTAACAGCTTTCTTGCTTCAAGTCTCTTCATCTGTGAAGAGATTGTCCAGTATTACGTAACAGTTCAGTACTCTTTTCTTTGTTTCTGTTGCTTCAAGTCTCTTCTTCATCTGTGAGGAAATTGTCCAGCATTCACTGCCATATAGAAGGTTTGGTATTACGTAACAGCTTTCTTGCTTCAAGTCTCTTCATCTGTGAAGAGATTGTCCAGTATTACGTAACAGTTCAGTACTCTTTTCTTTGTTTCTCTTGCTTCGAGTCTCTTCTTCATCTGTGGGGAGATTGTCCAACATTCACTGCCATAAAGGAGGACTGATATCACGTAATAGTTCAGTACTCTTTTTTTTGTTTCTGACACTAGCAACAATTAAATTAATTTTAAAGATTAACAGTTATTTTAAAATGAATTTGGACAGACCAAGAAGATTGACTGTCCGCTATTTTTTTTAATCATTTCACCCAATCAAGGTGATAAAGCCACTAAGATACAAGGTTACTGAAAGTGAAAAAGTAAGCGCTAATGAAGAGAAAGGACAACAAATGAACAGGTTCACGATGACAAAAGATGGCGATTGATGTTGCATTTCATTTTTTTGGAGATCCTAGTTGGTAAAGCAAGAAAGTGAAAGTAAGTTTCACAAGCTGGAAGTGCGAGAGAATAACTTATTAGAATATGACGCCAAATCCGTTCTAAGGTCGTAGCGAATATGAGTATTAAAATCCTTGTTTGTAGGTGTTAATGTGAAAAAAGAGGTAAGGGTGAAAATGAGGAAAGTGTAAGTGTCACGTAGCTTGGTGAGGAAGACTGGTGAATGCGTAAGAGAATCTCTTAAGCCTTGGTGTCGTGAATCTGTTGCAGTATGTTGCCTTTCCTTCATACTGCTTGTCTAGTCTAAAGACTTGGCTTATATACTCTTCAAAGGAATCACGAAACATATTTTTTAATATCGGTAACACGACCCATTGGTTGAAAAATGTTAAGTATTTTTTGGCGAAATGATTAATTTACCAACCGGAAAGATGCGTGAATTCTCCGACTCAGAAACCATTTTTTTTTTCCATTTGGTGTTTGACTGTCTTGCTGTTTATTTCCGTCTTCGCTCCACACATACATACACATGTATGGTTAAAACAAAAAAAAAAAAAACAAAAACATATGTATGCTAGTTTTGCTATTGACGTGGGATATATATATATATATATATATGAATTGTTAAGATTAAAAAAAATCTACATTCACGTACATATAAATATATTTTTTCCTCATGTATCATAGATACAGTGATCAGTATTATGAAACAGAGCTAAGTTTATATTAGTAAATATACATAATATCTAACGTATATTCACTAATGTACATAATATGTATGAATTTTATGACTGATTCATTGTAATATAAATTGAACTGCATCACATTTGATTTAAAAGAACTGATCCGACGTACAAATTTTCGGAATAACACCCGAGACCTTAATCTATTTATTGAACAATTTAGTTCATGACACATTGACTGATAAACTCCTACGACAAAAAAATTCTCAAATTGCCATATTAGTAAAAAAGCACACTCTTAAATTTTCAAAAAATTCAACCTTAGCGTTGCGACTGCACGCAACAAAAGTTTGTATCCCTTCAATAATACATTTCTAAACAAAAAAAAAAAAAAAAAAAAAAAACATTTCGATTTGCATTTAATTTTTCGCCTCTGACGCTACCTGGATTTACTAAAGACAAAATAATTTCCATGCCCGAGGATGACTGTGTGTACAGTTGAAAGTACTAGCAGATTATTAAAAAAAGACCTTATACAGCTTGTAGTTATTAAAAAAACAAGGATCATAACATTCATCGTGTGGTTCGAAGGTTAATGCAACTTTTAAATTTTGTTTGCGACGAGATTTCGCCATTTTATATCATTAACTTTACTAATCTATATATGAAAATTACTCAGAGTTAACCTGTAGAAAAGACAATATTTATAAATATAAATGACAATAGGAAAACTGTAGTCTTTCTGACGCGTTCCGTCCAATACGTTCTTTAATTAAATTCATTTCGTTTTTTGTTTTGAGAAAGTCCACATTGGACGAAACGCGTCAGTTTCCTATTTTCATCATATATATTTATATATATATATATATATATATATATATAAATATATACAAAAAAAACAAACAAAAATCTTAATATTTTTATGCTGTATTATTGTTATATATAATTTTTCGTCGGACGTTTCGGTCTATTTTAGACCATCATCAGGACATATTCATAAAATAGACCGAAACGTCCGACGTTGACATTATATTAACATTAAAACATATACATATATTAAGATTTTTTTTTTTTTTCTATATATTTTTCTTCATACTGTCGGATCTATATCCATATATTTGCTTATATATATAATATATATATATATAATATATGTGTGTGTGTGTGTGTGTGTGTGAGAAAGAAATGGGATTTATCCTAAGAGTGATTCTTTTATTAAAAAAAAAAAACAAAAAAAAAAAAACGCATCATCATTATCAATCAATTGTAGCATTTAAAGTTCATGAAATAATTCTGTTTCGATTAAATTATTTTATTTATGTTACTATATGTCTGCGTCAAGTGTACAGAATCGATACAAATTTCAAAAGTGAATAAATTTATTTCCTAGCAAAGAAAACATTTTTATTCTAATAGAAAATTCTCTAACTTCCAGTTCCAATTTTATATTGCTTATAGGCCGAGACATTAATTTAACAGAAAATGCTTTGATGTGGCCACCATGGTTTGACCAGAAGCTATAACGGCTCAAACCTTTATGACTGTAACCATTATCTCGCTGTTTCTATCTTCTTCCAAATAAATAAACGGTAAATTCTGTCTGTCCGTGTGTCTGAAATCCCTCTCACTCAGGCCACACTTGCTCTACATTGACTCATTATACCTTTTTGGAATCAGGATGATCCCCCGGATTGGAAATCTGCCATTCGTCTGGTGCGTGAACATCCAACATTGGGATTTGTGACAGGACGAGGAAGGAACAGTTAAAAATTCAAATTTTAAAATAACCGGAAAAAAATTAATGATTTTAAAAGTTTTTAATTCATATTGAGTTTAAAGTAACACAAAAACTTTGTGAATTTAATTTTTTTTGTTTTGAATTGAGTTTAAAAATATATCCAAAGCTTTGTGAATTAAGGAAATTAATTTTATTTCTTCAAAATGCAAAGTAAGTCAAATTAAATTGAGAGGTTTCATCATGTGAACTTTTAAAGTTCCGCAGAGATTGTCATTTGAAGAACTCAACTCAGTTGAAGTTTTACAAGGTGGATTCTCTTAATGATATCAATACGAACCCTGACTTTTACAGAGTTATCTACACTTAGTTTTTATTTACAAATATAGTGTTTTGAAAATGTACTTACGTCATTGATATCTGAATTTTTAAAAATACTTTTATGGTGGACACCCCGAGAAATGTACTATCGATGGCGGGTACATTGAGAAGTTCAAGATGGAAAGAAAATAATCTATAGGTATTAGAGATGTATCATCTAGGCTGGCATAGCAGAAACCTCTGGAGCATCTTGTGAACATTGAAGGCATGAATAATAAATCTGTCCAAGAAAACTTAATCTTATTCCATTGGAACGAGTTATAAATTCCGTCGCGAAAATGCATTTCCGGAAATTTAACATTAACTTTGGTTTAAAAAAAAAAAAAAAAAAAAATAAAAAAAAAAAAAACAAAACAAAAAGTAGTTTTTTTTACTTAGTAGTTTTTGGGAGAGAAAGAAGGTCATTTCATATTTTTCCCTTTTTTGTTTTGGAAATCTGACAATAGAATTTCAATATTTTCTTTATTAGAGGGAGAGACGGACGCGCTTGAGAGGTTTCAACCATTCGACTTACGGATTCTAGGGAGAGACGGACGACGCGGTTTTTTTTTGGAGAGAGAGAGAGAGACGGACGCGCGGGCGAGAAATATAGAGAGAGAGACGGAATAGGAGAGAGAGAGAGAGAGAAAGACGGACGGGAGAGACTTGGAAAGAGAGACGGACGGGGGAGAGAGAGAGATTCGGACGGGAAAGGAGAATTAGAGAGAGGAGAGATTAAGAGAAAGACGGGAGAGAGAGAGACGGACGGAGACAGAATGAAAGACTTCAGACGGACGAAATAAAAGTAAAGAGTAGAATTTTCATATTCGGAAGAAGAGAGAGAGAAGACGGACAGGAGAGAGAGAGAGGACGCGAAAATTAATCAGATTTTAAATAGAGAATTTCATTTTAACGGGAAACTTAGACGGACGCGCGTTATATAGAATATATAAATATATAGAGAGACGGAAAAGGGATACGGACGCGAGGGAAGAGAAAGAATTGTTCAAACCAAAAGACCGGAGATCTAAAATTCAAAAAGACTGACGGATGGATGAGCAGTTAGACAAAAAGGAGACTGACAGGCGTAAAAGAATGGAAGGGAGAAAGATAAAAAGAGAGCAGGACAAGAGAAAAGAGAGTGGGTGTGAGTATCGACGTTGAGAAAGAAAGGCGGAAAAAAAAGTAGAGAGATAAAGTGTGTAAAATCAGGAAGATCAATATTCCCCCAATGGCTTATAAGAATTGCTGATTTACAATCGCTGTCTACAAGATGGACCTTCGCAATATATTTATTTTAGGTTAGGCTCGTCTTGTACAAAAGCCACTGCATCGAGGCAAACACCGAAAACAAACTTTGCAAATCTAAATGTTGAGCATCGCTTTTACGCGAATGTCCGTTGATAGAAAAGAAACGTTTTGTCAGTAGTTGTTCAGAAATTTTATCACAGATTTAAATGATGGGAGGATAAGGTATAAGCATCAAGTCTTCTTAAAAATAATTGGATTTATTAAAATTTTTAATCCTGCGAGGATTTTGTTTACAATCTACTGGAACATTTCTTGGTGGAAAAACATTTAAACAGAACAATTCGACATTATAGGTGTAGACAGCTTCGCATATCGTACGGTTCACGCTCCTCCACGGTCTTTTGAACAGGTTTATCCCTATCAGTCTTTTTAGGATTCGGTGAAAAGGTCAAAACAAAAAAGTCTAATTAACTGTTATATCAATAACGTCTCCGTATGAATTCTGAAATTATATTAACTAATTATTTATTTTCTTCCTCAATAGGAGTAGATGGGTTCGCCTATCGTCCTGTTCACACTCCTCCCCAGTCTTTTGGGTGAGGTTTATTTTTTGTTCCTCGTTTCGGAAGGGATTTTAGGTTCCTTCTAAAGTCTTTTCTTTCTCTTTCACCCCCTTGCGTCTTAGTGGCATTATCGCCTTGCTTGGAGTAAAAAGATAAAAAAATACATTTTTCCAGGGTTTATTTGACGATGATTGATCAAAAAGTAATGCCAATTCCAATTTATTTTTGAATAAGTCACCAGTATTTCTATTTTTCATAAAATTAGGAACTAAAAAAGAAAATCGAGAAAAAGTAAATTGAAGTTACTTTATTTATTATTTCAAAATGGCTGCCCTTTTGGTATTGTCGTCAGGAAGAGAAAAGCTCCCACGAATTGGAGATACCGAAACTCTAACAAATATATCATTTTACATATCTAGCAGGTGTTTTAACAGATGATGGAAAAAGGTGACACAGAAATCCGAAGGCGCATTGGAACAGCAAGATACCTTTTGAAAACTAAATTAAATGCAACCGTAAGTTCTATGCTAACAGTTTCTTCACTCGCATTTCTCGCTTGTGGAACTTTTCCGGGTTCTTGCTTTCCACTCAGATGTGAACTTCAAAAAAATTTAAATGCGATGCCAATATTCATCTTCCGTTTCCTTAAACCCTATTCTTTTATTTTACTCTCTTCTTATGTTTTCTCAGATTCTTTCACGCTCGGTAACCTCCTTGCGTCTTGGTGGCTTTATCGCCTTGCTTCGGGTGAAAAAGATTTGATTTAAAAAAGAAAACAAAAACTACTAAGAAGCAGGAAAATTTCCTTAGAAACAAAGAGTGTTAAAATACTATGCAATATCCATATTACATTGCATACTAGACAGTCTTCTTACAAATGAAAAGATATGAGACAACAGAAAAGCGATTCTACAAGAGGAAGTTTTAAGGAAAAGGGGGGGGGAATGATGCTTAGACTTAGAATAAGAAAGAAAACGTTGAAAGTTCTGGAACACTTTTGTAATGTCAGTAAATGCTCGTTGTAGTAGAGACTTTGTAATCGCAGATACAACTATAGTAACGCCGTTGAACAATACCGGTGTCAGATGCCTTCGAATAACACTCGCACTAATAGTACTTGCTCGATAATATTCGCTTGAAGAGTAACCCGTATAGTGATCAGTATAGAGAAATAGTGTAGAAATAATGAATAGTATAGTAGTAGAGGATAGAATAGAAATGGTGATCATCTAGATGTCACGCTACTTCTTAAGTGCTTCCCTCATGGTCACGTGATCCACTTAATTCAACGATGGGATCGCCTGTGTTTGCCCTCTGGCGATCCATGTTTAAATTCCAGTGTCGGCAGCGACACTTTATTCCTATACAACAAAAACATAATGAGGAAAGAAGGCACCGAAAATTTGACACTCATAGGACATATCGGAGAGAAGTCAAACAGCGAGCAACTTACTTAACGTGCTTATATAAGGAGATGACAGAACAGGGAGTGGGAGGAATAGTTAAGTGACAAGCATTGCTAAGAGCGACGAAGGATGTTGTGGAGAACCATGATTTTTTTACTGGTTATCAACACCTTGTGAGTTATTTAAAGCTGAAATATATTGTTGGCTGATTGATTGTTATTTTACGACTTATCAACCTTTTCACCCAGAGGATAAAGACGTTGGTTAGATCCAGTGACTAGACCGAAAGAGTTGGGAGTTCAAAACCGGGTCACTAGAACAATCTACCTTGGTGGACGAAATAAAGGGTTCGGTTCGTAATTCCAATCACCTGAAGAAGGCAGTAGCGTATAATGGCCGAAACGTTGTGAATATAGCAATGAAGATGAGGATAACAGTCCGAATAATGTAAGTAATCATAAAACCTCATCTCGGGGATATAGACAGACTTTTGCAGGTTACATAAATCCGGAAAATATTTTTAGATCGTAAGAAATTTGGGAGAGATTATAATGATTTACTGATACAAGTCATACTAATTAACCCATAGTCGGGGGAAGAAAATGTAGATTTTCTCTGTAAGTGAATTTAACGAACCCGATTAGAATTTGAACTCGGCACTCCGGTTTCCACTTCCGAGCCATTAATCATCACACTATCGCATATTCAACTTTACAGCATTTGGTATAGGATAAGTGGTAACCCATCTTAAAAATATGATCAAGCTCGACGTTATTTTTTTCATGACCGTACGAAAGCCAGTTTTTCAACGTGATATGGTCCCTATTTTGGACATTAATAAGAGCTATGATATTAGTTGTATAGAGCCGTAATCGCTTACGTCCTGATTTTTTTTTATATATATATATATATATATATATATATATATATATATATCTCAGTTAAATCATTTTTTTTTTAAGAATTAATTTACGGTGTTTATGATCTTTATTGCCGAAAAATTTTTTTGAGACATGGTGCAATGGGATTTACCAGTACAGTTTGTTGTGGTCCCAGGGTAATCTACTAAAAAAAAAAAAAAAAGAATAAGCGATCAAAATTTTTTAAGCTTCCTTCGCAGCTTTTAACAATGTCCAAAAATACAAAAATAAAATTAATTGAATGTTCACCAAAAGATAAAACTGGATTGTAATATATTCTTTCTTTTTATGTGTCATGTCCTTTAAGGCCGTAAGCGATCATGGCTCTCCACCTCCCTCTATCCCTTGCAGCTCTCAAGTTCCTGCCCACTGCTTCCTCTCCCAGATTACGTTCTGTCATCCACTTGCTTAAGCCCGCCAGGTATGTCACGGGCTGCTTTCCCTTGTCTCTCTTTCCCTCTATTCGACCCGTGAGTATCAGATTCTCCAGGCCCTCCTTCCTCATTATGTGTCCCAGAAACTTCAGCTGCCTCTTCCTGGTGTTAAGTATAAAGAACATTTATTTTCTCCTGAGTAACGCCCGGTGTCCCTGCTAGTGATAATTTTATTTTTGACAAATAATTCAAGCTTTTCTCCAGTTGAACGGATTTATATTCCATCTCCAAAGATCTAACAAAATTCTTGAAGATCTTAGGAGTATAAAATTTAATTAAAGCAATAGTAACAGACATGATTAAAATTAGGTACCTTCAAAAATTCAATAAAAACGAGTCTACATGATGAGGCAAAAGCATAAAAGAACATTTTATCGGGAAAACTTTTGTGCTATTATTAAGACGAAAGATCAAAGGATTTTTTGATATTAAAATTATTTTTTATCTTTTCTCAGAACTTTGGAAATTTGGGTTAGAAATCATTTTTCTGGCGTCAGCGGATAAATTTCTTGTACGGAAATTTGATCATTTTTTTTTTTTTAGTTTTTTTCAGGGAAAAACACTGATTTGAAAATTCTTCAAAAATCAGATAATTGTCATATTTTAATGAAACTTTCAGTAGTTATTCAGAAACGAATGAAATTATTTGTAAAATTGTTTTATTTTAGAAAATCATGATTATATATATTTTACATCGTTACATAAGAATTTTTATGTTTCGTAACTTAAAAGTGATGTTAGGTAACTTAAGTTTCGGGCTGGATTTTCGGTTCTTTCTCTTTCAATCTCAGTGGTCTCCTTCAGTCTTAGTGGCATTATCGCTTTGCTTCGAGTGAGAAAAAAAATTACATTTTTTTTCCAGATGCAGGGTTTATTTGACGATGATTGATCAAAAAGTGATGCCTATTCCAATTTAGTTTTTGAAGAATTCACCAGGATTACTGTGTTTTGTAATTTAAAATTGTTCCTCATCAGCTGACGAGGAACAATTTTAAATTCCAAAATATTTAGAGAAAACAAAAAGAATGTAAGCGATGTAAAATATAATAAAAATATAATATTTTCCTTTACGTTGTAACGCGCATCTTTTCTTTAAAAATTTAAATTTAAGAACAGTGGATTCTTAATCTGTCTTTTCTTTCACTGGTGATATATTTTATATATATATATATATATATATATATATATATATATATTTTGTGTTTTTCTTTCTATTAAGATGTGCTATATTTATGGGTTAAAGTGCTCAATATAAGGGATAGAGCATTGTGTAAATAAAAATTTGAACATAAAATCAAAACTTTAAAGGCGACAGTCTTATTTTTCATTTAGATGCAAGAAAGAAAATTAAAGGAATTAATGCATCTTGAATAAATGAAACATTTTTTTTAAACAAATATTCATATATAAAATATTTATATATATGCAATATATATATATATATATATATATATATGGTGAATTAAACTTCTTGTAAAAAACTTTAAAAATTGATGTATTTGCGATAGAAATAATCTGTAAAAATGTTATAAAGTGTTTTAATTATAGCTAAAATAACTAACGTGATTTCAGGCATTACTGTAAATCAGTTGACAAATGTTTTCCATGAACAGCAAAATCGTATTACCTTTTTATTGCTAATGATGGACGACATATGGAAATTTAAATAAAATTTCTAATTTTTTTACAAATTATTTCTATTTTAAATACAAATAAATTTTATAATTTTTTAAGTGCACACAAACTTTTATGGACACCTGTATAATATATATATATATATATATATATATATATATATATATATTTCCATTCATCCAGGTAAGATGAGAACGAATAGTAGTACAATTCCACCGTTCGTAACATTTAATTTAAAAGAAGGCTCAATACAAAGTAGAGCAATATTTTTTATTTTAGGATATTACATCGAAAACATGTTAAAACCGCTACACAATTGCAGTTGTGTTTCGATGCATATCAAAGCATCTCATCAGATGATTGTAAATTATTGGCGAGTGAACGATTTATTCATACTTCTGAATAAATCGTTCACTCGCCAATAATTTACGATTTTGACATATTCTTAAAATAAAGTATTATATATATGCTTATTTTATTTATAAGGACAAGTCCTCGGAGAAATATATTTTTTTTTAAACAGGTCCTCCAGTTACAGAAAATATGTGTTCTGGATAGTAAAATAAAAAAAAAAATGCAATAAAACTAAGAAATATTTAATAAGAAAAGCTTTTTATCGCTTTTACCTATAAAATATATAATAGACATTACTGTAAATCTTTTTCGATGAATAATTCATTTTTACAATAATTATTTTAATTTTTTTTAGCTTTAATTAGAATAATTTATAAAGTTTAAATTCTGTCTTAATTTGTAGTCGTCAAGTGATCGTGTCATTAAATTAAATCTTTATTAATCATAAATAGGAAAGCTCACTACAATTTCACAACCACCAATATTTTAAAAAGAAATTTCAATTTGGGAATTTTTCTGTGTTTATAAACGTGTCGATTTTTGTAAATACGGACGTCCAGACAAGATATTATCAGAAAATAAGAGCGGCAACTCTAGTAAATTTAAAATTTATTGATAATTTTCTATTATTTCCTCAACAAGAGTCTTCGTAAATAAGTCTATGAAGTCAAAGTATCTATAATTTAATAAAATATTAGAATACAGAAAAATTTTAAGATTCCTGAGCAGATAAAAACTGTATATAAAAGACGTGTCTACGTTGCATTCGTCATATAATTTCATTTTTATTATGAGCCTATTTTTTCAAATTTCCCAAACACTAGGTTCTAAGTACATCACCCAGCACATAAAAACATTTCCTCTCCATCTTTAAAAATGCATTTTTGCGTATTTTAAACTAAAAGTAATGTTTGTTTCAATTCAGATTAATTAAACTTTAACTCAGTTAATTCTTCATGAATAATGTTTCAGAAGAGCATATTTTATTCTTGCATTTGTTTTTAAATAAAAAGAATTATGTTGTGTTGACAGCTATATCAGTATGTCGTATTTATAGATTTTATTGATATGAAAAAAAAATCTAATCAATTTAAAGTCGTTTTGAAATACTACAAAGTATTTTGCTTATTGCAAATATTAAAGTTAATCAATTAGGTTGGAGTTAAAATGAAATATTTCTAATTTTTAAAAATGCATTTAAACATTAGGTATCGCATTCTTGTGGGGAGGTACTTAATTAAGAAAGATAAAAATCAAAAGCAACAAAAACGGCAACTGGCAATACGAAAATATGAACAAGAAACAAAAAAAAAAGTCATAGAATGTGTTCACCGGTTATCGCTCCACACTTGTCAGAACTCGATCAACGAAAGTGAGTGATGTACTGAGAGCCTTACGTTTGGGAAATTTAAATATGGAAGCACATAATAGAAATAAAAAATACATTTGAAAATACAAATGTGAACGCAAAGTAAAATTTCTGTGCACCCTAATTAAAAAGGGAAACATGAAACAAAAAAAAAAGTGTATTAATCTATTGAAACGGATATATTTTTTATAAAGGAATAACATTCAGTCCCAACAACCATTCCTTCTATTTAATTTTTAGAAATTTGTCTTGATTAATAAAAAATAGTTTCAAAGATTAAAATATATATAAAAAGATGTTCACATTTGTATTTTCAAATGTTTTTTTTTATATTTCTATTATGTGCTTCCATATTTAAATTTCCCAAACATCAGGCTCTCAGTACATCACTTACCACGTCAGAAAATACCTCCTCCATCTTAAAAGATGCTTTTCTGCGGTATTTGAAACTAAAAGCAAGTAATACCTGGTTCAATTCAGATTAATTAAACTTTAAATCAAGTAATTTTTTCTCAAAGTTTTAGAAAAGTACATTTTAATCTTGAATTTGTTTTAATAAAATTAATTATTGTTAAACAATAGTTTCGGACTATTATCTTTTAGTGACAGTGTATTTGGCTCAGACCTTCTGAGGCTGATCTTGGGGTCAGCTCGTAGACAAAATAGGGATGTGAATTTTGATTGGCTGAGCCGAACATAGGAATATAAACGTTAGAAAGTGTTTTCGATGAGTTGTCTTTTAGGGAACTTGCACTATGTCCAGTATCAGAGGCAGAAAACACTGGTGTAGTAAAGGAAACCTTTGAGGTCCCTTCATAGAAAGAACTGGACTTGGAATGAAATAAAAATAGAAGGGGAGAATGTAATAATAACTATTGATAGCCCCTGAGGAACCTGACGATGAAAAATGAACCTGGCCCATTTATATATATATATATATATATATATATATATATATATATATATATATATATATATGTGTGTGTGTGTGTGTGTGTGTGTGTGTGTACACAGATGCATAATAACTAAATTCACAGAGATCAGAAATATGTTGGCTTTAGAATAATGATTTAATACCTATTTCATATACCCTCAAAATTCCTCTGGTGAATGAGGTTGAGCTGATAGATGCAAACCTATCCTACGCTACTGTTAAGTGACAAGATGGACTAGAATCAAGGCTGTCTTTTAGGGAACTGGCACCGTGTCCAATATCAGAAGCAGAAAACACTGGTGTAGTAAAGGAAACCTTTGTGTTCCCTTCATAGAAAGAACTGATTGCATAGAAACTGAAGATACCAATATTAATGAAAGTTATCATCATCTGAGTCAGCTGAACTTGATGCGTGTGCCCTTGACTAATTAAAACCAACCAATCCAGTACATCGTAGATCTTCTAGATTGGTAAAACCTTCCAGTGTCTTGGCTTGAAATGAAATATAAATAGAAGATGAGAATGTAATAATAACTATTGATAGCCGCTGAGGAACCTGCTGATGAATAAATGCTATTGGCCCTGAAGGAACACACCTTGACTGCGAAACAATCCCTGCACATCATGAGGAAACAAAGGCGGACATAATTCAACACACACACAAACATTATGAAATGGACAAAGTCGGACAATTATTTAAAGACATTTTTATGATTACACGTTTTCTTTTATAGATACTAACACCATTAAAAAAATAATCGGACCGTCTAGTCAAACACGGGTGGAAATATATATATATATATATATATATATATATATATATATATATATATATATATATCTCACACACACAGGTTGGACAAAATAATTGGAACAGTTGCAAAATCCACTCCTATATTTCAAAGACCTATTATATTAAGAACTTTAACTAAAACTTCGTAATTGCAGGTTATATCTATTGTAAATACGTTTAATTATCTAATTGACTGTCTTTGTCTTATTTATTTTTAGAATTTAGTAAAATTTAAGCTAAATGCATGACCTCTCCGAGTTCGAAAAAGCGCAAAATGTTGGAGCTCGCATGGCAGGAGCCTCGATCACTAAGGTTGCTGAACTGTTTGGTTTTTCAAGAGCTACCATATCAAGAACACTGATGCAATTCGAGAAACAGGGCAAGACCTCTAGCAACCGTAGCAATTCGGGCCGGACTTTCAAACTTACTGACAGTGACTGACGTGCATTGAAACGCAATGTGGCAAAAAAAAAAAAAAATCATCGGACAAATGCGGCCAAAGTGACTGCTGAGTTGAATAAGCATCTGAATAGTTCAGTTTCTACTAAAACTGTTCACCGTGAGCTCCATAAGGCTGCATATCATGGAAGAGCCGCTGTGAGAGAACCTCTTCTCTCCACTCGCAACATTCAAAAGAGGTTGAAGTGGTACAGAGATCACAATGGCTGGTCTGCAGACAAATGGAAGCAAGTCATATTCTCAAACAAGTCCAGTTTTGCTCTTTTCCCAACTTCAGGGCGAGTTTATGCGTGGAGGCAGCCCAAAGAAGCTTACAACCCCGACTGCCTTCTTCCAACAGTGAAACATGGAAGTGAGCTAGAACACATGGAATGGCCTCCCCAATCTCAAGATATCAATATTATTGAACAATTGTAATGCATTTTGGAGCAACAGGTTAGGATCCGCTATCCTCCACCGTCGTGTCTTAAAGAGCTGGAGAAGGTTTTAATGGAAGAATGACTGAAAATTCCTCTGGATGAAGTCAGGAAGCTGTATGATTCCGTTCCTAGACGTATTAAAGCTGTCTGTGAGGCTAAAGGAGGACCAACTCCATGTTAAATAAATTTTCTTTGAATTTAACAAGTGTTCCAGTTATTTTGTACAACCCATATATATATATATATATATATATATATATATATATATATATATATATATAACAAACTGATTTTAATTCTTCTGAAAGTTTCTTCAGGCCTGCCGTGGTGGTGGATCAATGATTAATGGATTTTTCCCCTTCATTTTAAGGAAGGATTTGTATTTTTTTTCTTTGTGTGGATAATCTAACAAGTTATGTTTATCGTCTGGTTCTCACTCCTACTCTATCTCACTTATGAAGATTTTGAATTAAAATTATTTTTCTAATGACGCCGGTTCATCAGATAAAGATGATACTTTTCCAAATTGTTTTATATATATTTATGTGTGCATATATATAACAACAGAAGGAATGTGTTAGTCAGCATATATCTATAAATGACAATACTCTGTGTGATATCCGTCCGTGTCTGGTTTAATAATGAAATGTCGGAAAGAAAGAACGAAGTACGGAAGCGAAATCTCCGAGGTTTTTCCTTTGCATCTAACAGTGTTTTCCTGTCACGACTCCTCTTTTCCGAGAGGTGATCGCTTTAAAAAAAAAAAAAAAAAGAAAAAAAAAAAAGAAAAAGGAAAAAAAAACGTGAGAAAAAGGAAAGAAATCGTGACTCTGCAAATCATTTGCTAAAACTAGTTTTTTTTTTCCCTTTTCTTTTAATCAATTCGCCACAAGCAAGGCGATAATGCCACTAAGACGTACAGAAACAGGTGTTATGGCCGTAAGTCGGTCTTTCCTTTACTCGCTAAACTGACGAAAGACTTTCTGTCAACTTTTACAGAAACCTGAAGAAGTCACAAGCATCGACCGAAACGTTTCAATGAGACCACAAATGAGAAGACATAAATCCAAAGTCGATCATTGTATAATGGTTTACCATTCCATATCGCAGGAAGCCCGCAGCATAAAACAGCCGAACTGTTGTGGTCGTAGCAAGCAAGATGAAAATGGCAGTGCAAGTCAGTCAGTGTATAATAAAAATTATTCCCCCTCTCACACCGCAGGAAGGCTACAGTATGCAACAGCTGAACTGTGTTAAATACAACAATCAAAATAAGGACTAGTCAAAGTCTGTTAGCGTACGATATCATTCCTAGTCTTGTGAAACCTGGAGCATGCATCTGCCGAAATGTGATGACATTTTGTTTTTAAATCCAGCTAAATATTCTTCGCGATTCTGTTGTCGTGTTCAGCCGTCACAGTCAAATAAATTTAAAATACTGCGATGACCGTCACGCCCCATTCACTGAATCAATTATTGAATACATTTTAAACATCTCAAAAGACAAGGAATAACAGCTAAATTATTCCGTACAAGGATAATAATTAAGATAATTGATAATATATAATAATAAAGAAAATAAGAAAAAAAATGTTTCCAGATTATATCTGCCTGATGATTGTTATTACATGAAACTCTGAGTAGCAGATTTTGATATTTTATTAACAATCTGGCTAAAGCCAGAACATATAATGGAGTTGGGGAATGGCTACAATTTGTGTCTCAGGGAAAAATAGCTAATCCAACAGTGAATGGTTAACCAGCTGTTGAATAAAAGAAACAAACTTATCTTATGGCTGCATAAGAATAACAATTAAAAACATACATTCAGGATAGTAGATTTCTGTCACCCCTGGATTATATAAATCAGATTATAGCTATTGAATCCAGATTACATCTGGCTGATGATTGTTATTACATGAAACTGAGTAGCAGATTTTGATATTTTATTAATAATATTGTCATTATATACAACATCTATTATTTCGTATTCAATGCAAAACAAAAGGTTCATGAAATATTTCAAAATAGAAAAGTGGTCCTTCCTGATAAAGCCAACAAATCAAAATATATTAGTCTACCTACCAACTTCAATCACAACTACAAATGAATAGAATTTAAGATGAAGTTACTGATGACCAGATGTAATTTGAGTAATATATACACTATAGGACTATGCCTGTTACATACCCTAAAGTGCTGTTTTAATGTTAGGCTTCTGGTTTTATATAAAAAAAAGAGAAATAAGACCTTATGAAACCGTAATATTATCTTAATAATAATAATAATAAAATATAATTGACAAACCCAGCATATAATTAATCCCGAATCCCTAAGGCAACAACTAAATTAAAACAAACCTTGACGAAAATACAAATTGAAGTAAAATAGCACCAATTAAAGAAAAAAATCAATAAAATCATCACATCCAACAACGCCGAAATAGACTCCATAAATTGGATACAAATTGTATAATAATAATATTAAGATAATATTACAGAAGACCTTATGAAAAAAACAAAAAAGAAAATAAGAAAAATTGTTTCCAGATTATATCTGCCTGATGATTGTTATTGCATGAAACAAGGAGAAGCAGATTTTGATATTTTATTAATAATATTGTCATTATATACGACTTCTATTTGGTATTCAGTGCAAAACAAAAGGTTCATGAAATATTTCAAAATAGAAAAGTGGTCCTTCCTGATAAAGCCAACAAATCAATTTTAATTTTAGGTTTGTGGTTTTATATTGCATGAAAAAATAAACACCTTGTTTGGAAGTATTAATTATTGATTTAAGATACAGGTTCTTTATAAGGTCTACTATAGCCTTTGTATTACATTTAAAAAAAAAAAATCATCACATCCAACAATGCCGAAATAGACTCCATAAAATAGAAAATTGTCGATTTTGACCAATACGATAATGTTGAGATTCTTAAACCTCGTATCCTTTAAGTCCTTTATTTCAAATCCCTACTCGTGTATACTTCTATGTGTAGTGTCTCTTCAGGACATAGGAAATCGTGGCTATCCAGAGTTTCCTGTCTTTTGTAGCTCTTAATAAATTTTATCATCTCATAAACCTTGTTCTGCCATCATTTTACTCAAGCTTAATAAATAAGCCTTGCATTCTGTTCCCTCTAATTATCAAGCGTCCTGAGTATGACGATATGTTACATCCGACAGCAAGGCCTCAGATCGGGAGGTTTCCAGGAGTGTAGAACCACCCTGACCAAAAGTGGTAGCACCTGTTAGACTCCCATCTATGGGTAAGTAGATAATTTTTCAAACTGGTCAAAACAATATGAAAGTATAAAGATACATTTTTATATTAAAAATTACCAGCAGTACATTAAAAAAAAAAAAAAAATACTAATACTCCCAAGAAAACTAAATTTCGGTATTAAATGACCCACAAGGAGTTGATGTACCGCTGAACAAACAAAATCTACTTATCAAAAGCTTTGAAGCATACTATAACACCACACACAACTACTAAATGCAACATAATATCTATATATTAATTTCACGCATGCTATGTTCAGTAAAACATATCAGTACATTAACTTAGCGAAAAAAGCCTCTTCAGTAAAAAGATAAATTCTTAAACTATGTATAGAAACATTTTTCAATTCATCCTCCTAAAAATTAATTCTTATACATGCTAGCAGTAATATACGGGGTGGATTATTCGGACTATTTTCCTCATCTTTGTCGCCATATTTATTACAACGTTTTGACCGTTGTACGCTCTGGCCTTCTCCAGGTGGTTGGAATGTCGAACTGAACCCTTTATTTCGCTCGCCGGGGTAGACTGTTCTAGTTCCACGTGACATGATTAATGGATGTCAGTTATCAGTTAATTCCCCTCTCCAAGTTCTCCACTGCCTTAACCGGGTATTGAACTCACACTCTTTGGGCCCTGGATCTAACTAACGCCTTTATCCATCGTGCCATGTGTACAAATAGTGTACATAATACCTCATCTCAGAAATATAGACAAATGAGGGTGGGTAGGAAAAAAAATCAGGAAATATAATGGGGTGTTTATATCTACGATAATACGGCATTATACAACAGCGAGTTTATAGGGGGGCAGGGGAAGTGCTAAGCCACGTGCCCTCAAACGAACTGAGTGACAGCTTTTGAAGAGAAAGCAACACAAAAACCTGTGATGTTTAAATATATTTTAGATCCAAAGAGAAAAGGCGTCCAGAAATCGTGTATGAATGGAAAAAAAAAAGATATATAGATTTTTATATATCTAGAAGAATTTTAGTAAAATTTATGCCTAAATGGAAATGATTTTTTTTTTACTGTGACGCGGTTTGTTCTTTAGTTCGATGAAATCTTAAAAAAGACAATATATATATTATTACAAAATGGCCATACAACCAAAATATTAACTATTAATAAATGTCCTGACAAAAGAAACAATTATTTAATCGCAGAAAAACAAGTATTTCAAGTCAGCATGGGCACTTAGAATATCTTGTGGATATGTTTGCCTTATGATAAACAGGCAAGTCAATAAGCTGATCACTGAAGATGCTTAAATTTGATTTTATTTAGTTTCAAAATTGACTTGCTTAGGTAAAAATAACAATATTCATCGAAATTTACAAACACTCCCTCTTCTCTGCTTTGGGCTAGATGGGCAATCTGAAAAATTTTCAACATGAGGGCACATTGAGAAATTATATATAATGATTAAAAAATGCTGAATATTTAGAGATGTACTGACAAAATAACGAATTATTTAACTACAGAAAAGCGTACAATCTTTCAATTTGGCGTGGGATAGATAAAATCTCGTAAAAACGTCTGCTTTATGATAAACAAGCTGGTCAGTGGAAAAGGCTAAAGAATTTATTTCGATTTGACCAATCTCCGAAATTAACTTCTCTTGTTTACAATAAAGATGACGTTTGTTTAGATTTATAAAACATCTACTCCCCTACTTCGGGTTTAGGCGACATCAGTGGTTTACATACAGACTTTTCAGCAGGAGGTTCCACATTTAAGACATTCAAAAAACATTATAAATGAAGAAATATAGTTTTAAGGGATGCTATCTCAATATCAAGGATAGAGCGTATGTAAATATAAAAGTGAAGATTGAAGTCAACACTTAGAGTTGAAAGACTGTTTCATGCTAAACGACGTGTGTGTGTAAGTAAATTTTCAGATATTAACAAATAATAATAAATTACTTAATTGCAGAAAGACAAGCTCTACATTTCACATTTCAAAATTGCTAAAGGCTAGATAAAATTTTATGGCGGCCCTTGCTTTGTAATAAACAAGTTGGTCATTGGAGATGCCTAAATAATTTATTTTGATTTGATCTCTGGCCCCAAAATTAACTTCTCTGGGTTAGGATATAATAACAATATTTGTCAAAATTAATATTCTCCCACTTCGCTATTTAGGTTTTCGGAACTAGTGAAATAACAGGAAATTTTTAGCTCGTCTTTTTTGGTATGGCACACATTAATTTGGAAAATCTTGCAAAAATAAAAATAATTGTCGGATGTTAATGAATCTTTATGGAACTATTCACAGATGATCGAAATTATTATAAATATGTTTTTTTTTTTTATAAAATTCATGGTAGAAATATTTGTTTTAATATTTATTACCTCCCATAACTAATTTTATGAAAACGCTAGAAATTCGATCGCATCGGGTTTAGTGATTACAATAGTTAAAAGCACAAGGCTTTGAAGAATGCAAATCATGTTTTTAATTGGACCCCCTCTACCTGAAAATCAGCTCTAAATTGTAACATACAAAACTCAATAAAACAAAGATATTATTTAATTTCAAATGCTTTTATTTGCTTTTTAGTTGTTTTTATGAATATGGACAATATTTTCTGAAAGCAAAAAAATTTTTTCGATGAAAAATGAATTTTTAATACAATTATTTGTTATTTCTTAATTATAACAGATTTTTACATTTTTAAAATATTATAAAATTAGTTAAAAGCCGCATCGGGTTTTCTAAATCTCCTTATGAGATTGATCTTTTTTTAGAGCGTTGTATTGTATCATTTTGACTAATCAGAAGATCCGCAGTAATTAAAAAAATGTGATTTTGTGTTTATAATCGGGCTGTAATTATAAAGTACGGAAGACCAACCAGAATACAATTAAATTGCGTTATTTGAATTAAACATTGTTCTCCGCTGTTAAGGCCTTTACTTTTGCGAAACACGTGTGGAGAAGTTAATTTGATTTTTCAATTTCAACTGAGAAGGGTACCTACAAGTATCAGTATCATCTTATGAAATTTATATGATCTTATTTTTATATTAATCTTAGTTACGACATTTTTCCATAAATGAAATATCAAAATTAAAAATAAAATGAATGGGAATACAAATAACACAGTAAAATGCAATAAATGTACATAGAATTATAGTATTTTATGTAAACTTCTAATAAAATTTCATAAGAAAGGTGCCTATAATTTCTTATGAAATTTAATCTCACTCGTCTTATTTTAATTTCTTTATAATATATTTTCCATAAAACATCGTCAACGTAAAGGTGAAAGCTAAGTACAAAAAAAAAAAAAAAAAAAAAAATTAGAGCGCTGAAAGTTTTCCTTAAAAATAACGAGGTAAATAATTTGTTCACTTAAATCTAAATTATTTCACTTTTTTTTTTCCATCCGTAGAACAAATTAGCCTCACGCAATTCGTCAATGTCATTCATCACCTGTCAAGTGACGCGAATGTTTATGACCTGCTTTGTTTTATTTTCAAATTACATCTTTTCGGCGCAGAAGCTAAGTTAAGCTTGTTTTCAAAATATTTTAAATAAACATTAAAATTTCTGATTTTCTTAAAATAAGTTTTGAAAAAATGATAATTGATATTTAAAAGAATTTCAAAGTGAGATTTTCAGTTTTTTTTATAAAATGGAAAAAAATGGTCAATTTTGTTGACTCAAAAAAAAAAAAAAACAAAAAAAAAAAAAAAAAAGATTTTTAACGAAAATTTTGGACATGGCAGGAAAGATTAAAAAATGTAAAAAAATACCCCCAAAATACTTTGATCTTTCCTCTTAATAATAACAAACATTTAGACGAGAAGTTTTTTTTTTTTCGTCAAGTTTGGCGTCTTTTTCATCATGCTATGCTCTTTTTTTTTTTTAGCGATCTCATGGAGGTACCTAAATTAACGCATTACTTAGAACGATTATTTCTCTACTTATAAAAACGTAAAAACAGTTTTAGTTGACAATAACATAATGGACACACGACTATAAAAAACAAATTATTTACAACTAAATTGTTTAAATAATGAACAATCTCTTGTTTGCGTTACAGGGTAATAATTGTAAGTAATAGCAAATAAATAAAGCGATATACTAGAATAAGTAATCATGTAAATAAAGCGATATACTAGAATAAGTAATCATGTAATCGTTTTATAGATTTTCTAGCATTAAACACCCCAGAAAAACGATGATAAACCGTAAAAAACAAATCCCTCAATTCTATATTAGTGCTGAACTACTGTCATTACAATCCTCCTGTGGGATCATGAATGCTGGATAATTTCCTTTCAGATGAAGAGGCTTGAAGCAACAGATTTAGTTCTACAGACAGATGCTAGAATCAAAGAGGTTGGAGAATTTGACACTCACAGGGCATACTGAAGACAAAATGGACAGAAGGAAACACTGAGTAACCTAACATTTTTGTTAAAACGCAACAAATTACTTGGCACTTTTGATTAACAGCATTACTTAGAATGATTACTTTGTTACTTATGTAACTTGAAAACCAGTCTTAGTTGGCAATAATATGACAGATGGCTATAAAAAGGCATTGTTGATTATTTACAGCTAATTTGTTTATATAATGCACTATTTTTTTGTGTCATGTGACAATAATTGTAAGTAAAATGATGCACTAAAATAAGTAACAAAGTAATCATTTTAAGTTCTCTGAATATCAGTGCCTTGTGAATAATTCATACCTGCACCAGTGCACAGTGGCCTTGTACATATTAATACGGATTTTCTCATAAGGTAAGGTACAACACTCTTCCTTACCTGACAACTCACCCACATGGCCTTGTGCCAAACAATGGTAAGCAGAACAATTGTACGTGATTCTACAGACAGATGCTAGAACCAGGGATTGAACATGTAGCAAAGACATGGAGAATTTGACATTCACAGGACATAATTAAGACAAGACGGACGAAAAGAAACAGCGAGGAACGTAGTATTTTTTTTAAATTTAACAAATTACTGGGCACTTATTTCGATTAACCGCGTTACTTAGAACGATTACTATGATACTTACAATGTTGCGATAATACGTGACAAACGGATATAAAAAGGCACAGCTAATTGTTTAAATAATGCACTGACTATTGTTTAAGTTACTTGGAAATGATTGTAAGTAAAATGATTTATTAAATCTTTTTTCTTTCTTTTTTTTTTTTTAGAAAACGCTCTTCTGGAAGTGATGCGTTATATTGTAAAAGTCACATCAAATCACTGATATTATTAAAAGATTTAAGTCTATTGATTTTATCAATGCTTATATTTTATTTATTTCAAATACATTTGGCAAATTTCGTTTTAGTTTAATAGGAGTTTAAAACACGATAGTTTTTTGTTGAAACGACGGTCAAGTCATCTGCACAATACCGGCGTTCTACTGTAGATGTATTAACGGATTCAAATCAGTTGGAAGGCGTTTTTTTTTTCTTCAAGTGCATTTTTTATAAGTACCCGTTCGATGGCATATACATATATCTGGATGCATTCAAGCATTCAAATCGAATGAATGAGTGCGGAAGTTTAGAATTGTATATCTATCATTTATTAGCGCATATATATATATATATATATATATATATATACACACAAAGTTAAATTCTGTTCCAAGTATTTCAAAAGAAAGCGGCATTCAAAATAATTTCTACGCCTTTGAAAGTAAAGCTTTATTTTTATTTTATTTTTTTAGAAATCAAAATCCTAAACTGTCGTCTGCCAATTCCACAACCCTTTAAATATAATACACCTTTCGACGCCATACTGAGGACTGGTACATTTTTTTTTTTTTCAAATTCTCCTTTCTCCGAGCACTCCTCAATATACTCTCAGGAAAAAAAAATCATGATGATGATGATAATAATATAATAGGTATGATGACTGACGGTTTATATCTTAATTGATAGCGGCTTACGGCCGTATCACGTTGGAACACCGGTTCTCGTACGATCGCCGAAGTTAAGCAACATTGAGCTTGGTCAGTACCTGTATGAGTGACTGCTTGGTAAAGCCAGGTGCTGTAAGCTCGGATGTGCGTAGGGTGTAACAGATAACGGCTCGGAATAGGAAATCTGAGAGCAGAGTTCCAATTCCAGTTGGGCTCGTTATATCTACTTATGCACAAATGCCGTTGGGAAAGGAATGAATTCAGCCCTTCTCCTCCTAACTATGGGTTAATTAGTAGAACTTGTGTCAGTACATCATTATTGCCAAAAAATATTACAATTCCCAAAACAATATTTCTGGCTTTAAATAACCCGCAAAACGTCGATAAGCCGTAAAAAAACAAAAACAAAAAAAACAAAACCAAAAAGCAGCAAAAGCAACAAAACCAACAACAACAAAAAAACAAAACAAAAAAACAAAAAACAAAACAAAAAAAATCAAACCAATTGTTTGATTGAAAGCCGGTGTTAACATGTGCATATCTTGAGGAGTTAAGATCGGTTACAGTAAATATTCTGTTCAGATTTGTTTCTCAGAAGTTTAGCCATAACTAGTTGGGCATGTGCCCTAGGATTTGACGCATTGTGCATCTATCTGTTCATGAGCGGGAGTAGGGAAGGAGCATCATAGCCGGATGTTGAGAGAGATTTTATTTTAAGTTTTAAGAACGAGACAGCCAAAGCGACTCATCTCGACACTTGGGAACACTTAATCTGCGACCGTCTAAGAGAAAACTAGGTTACCCGATCTGAGGGTATTTCTAAGTGGGCCCCCACCAACAAACTTGAGCTCCGCTTTAAACATAACCTGTCACCATACCGTGCACATCTAGCTGCGACCCATGTGCCTGGTATACCCTTATTAAACAATATGTTATGATTAGACTTCGCAGATTTGTACCCCAGCGTCAATTTGCTGGCATGCCGCTCCTTCACCCAACAACAACCAAAAGCAAAAGGAGGATCTGAGAAAACTTGCCGACACTTAATCTCCAGAAATAACAACCGTAAAATACATGAAAAATAATCATTCTTAACTTCCATCATCCGTGCGAAAATGATTTGATAGTTGTGAACCAGAAAACCTGTCAAATCGTGGATATTTTGTTCCCGAATATGGCCAGTATATTATAACCGCGTTCATACTTCTAAGGTTCTGATTTTTCATTATAAGAGCTTATATTATTTGTAAACGCTGTTTTGCATTTAGAACCGCATATCGCATTTTTGTACTTGACAAGTATATTGTGTATCGAGAATGGTACAGTTCCATGCTGATTTAAAAGTGTGCCGTATGGAGCTTTGTTTAGAGAAATGTAAAGTCAGCCGTCTTGACAGGCGAGTGGTGATGTGCCCAACTGTTGTGGAGTGATTTCGCAGTGGAGGCTTATATTTGTACTAAATCGATCCTAAAATAGGTTTGACGTACAAAACGTTAGGAACTTGATATAATAGGTATTACGCAGAGTAATCTTATTGTGGTCGCTGACTATCGACTGACCGTCGTTTCTATTACTACTTCTACTTATATTAGGTGGGAGAGTCTATTAAGTATAGAACAGGTGTGTTTCACCATAACACTAACATAATTATTTATGAATTTATTTTCACCGGGAACGCAGTTCCCTATGAGCTATCGAAATTCATAATTTTTGTCTGATATAGTTTTTATTTCGCTGATGTTTCTGATATTAAGGTTAGAGGGTTTTTACTATTTTAATAAGATAATTAATGTTTTATTCTTAGTCTGTTCTACAGGATTGATGCATTTATTTTACAATGTTCCTAAAAGCGAATTCATTCTGTTTGTAATGCGTGTGCATCTTGTTATGATACACATCTCTCTGACCAGAGCTCCACACGGACGGATTTAAATCAACATAGAATTGCATCAACCTCGATATGCAATGTCGAAACCATGAATGTCATACGAACCTCCCATTGCAAGAAAGAATTTAAAAGTAATTGAAGGTTTGATTATAAAAAAAAAAAAAAAAAAAAAAGACAAGAAACCAATTTTAACATCAGTTATGAACACTGTCGTAGTATACTGGCCATATTCGGAAATTAAGAATATGTCTCCTTCCAGGAATATTTACGATCTAAAATAGTAACAGTAATAACGACATTTACCGGCCCCAATGCCCGAGAAATTTTCATAGAATATATGCGGCCTCCGACAGGAATCGAACCTGTATCCTACACGGAACCGTCATATAACCTGACGTGCTTTACCGATTTAGCCACAGAGGAGAGTTTCAGTTAGTAAGGTAGAGTTTACCGTTTTTAAACTACGATTCTCCATAAAACAATGTGCTATAGCTGTTTAAATTTATTCTATTTACATTCACCAAGTACTTTCGATCATCTCCCAAGATCATTTTCAGGGGGTGCAAGTGGCACAAAACTATATACGTGTTGTTCATTAGTATAAGTATTTATATAAAAGATGTTCGTTGTTATCCATTACCGTAATTTTTTCATTGTGCTTTTAAATGCAAAACGGCTGACAATGTGCTGAGCGTTCAATAGAACGCGAAAAAATTATCCGTTGCGACAATTTTTTTTTCATGTTATGATGTCATGGTCATACGCGCATTAAAGCGTGGAAAAAAAATTCTCTCGTCCTTTAAGATGAATACACGGAAGGTTATTCATGAGTATGAATGGATTTTGTTAAAAATTAGCAGACATAATGACTATAATTTATTCAATCAGACATGCTTAAAAGCGAATTTTATGCCTAAAAACACACACATATTTATATAACAAAAGTAATTTGTCAGTCTTGTTTAACAATACAGGTATTAAAGAGGGATTGCTCCCACAAATACACACATTATATTTGTGATAAAAATATAGCTTCAAGGTGTGTATATATATATATATATATATAATATAAGGTAAATATTTATGGGTTAAAGTGCCTCAATAGCAGGGATAGAGCGTATGTAAATAATATGTAAGTAATAGCCTCAAGATTGAGTTTAAGCATGAAACAGACTCTACATTGGATGGATATATAAGCAATTAGGCACCTCGAGGCGGTGTAATGGTTAGTAAGCTTGTCTCGCTAGAACTGTTACGACTGAGTAGTGAGTACGATCTTCACTGGGTACCCACTACTTTCGGCCTTCTGCCACATCTAAGCCACATTTGGAAAATCACTAAATGCTTATTTTGGGCACCTCGAAGTGGTGTAATGGTTAGTAAGCTTGTCTCGCTAGAAGAATTACGACTGAGTAGTGAGTTCGATCCTCACTGGGTGCCTCATACTTTCGGCCATGTGCCGCGCCTGAGGTAAGCTTGGAAAATCACATATACATACACACACACACATATATATAAGATATTTTTGTAGGTACAAAATTTAATGATCGAAATAAAAGTATAAAACTTTTATATTACGAGACATATTAAAAACGGGCGAAGCAACCGGTTTCGCTCCCGCTCTTCAGGCTTCAACGGGAGATTTAATTTAGAATTAACACAGAAAAAATGTACAATAAAAGGAAGTTGTGGGAGGAAATAAAAAAATAAAATAATAAAATAGCAAAAGGAACTAGAGACAAATGACAGCGAGCCCCCAAAACACTCACGTTGTTTACACAAAGAAGGCTTACGGGACCCAGAACCTCTAGATGAAATAAAGATTGTGACCGGGACAACTCGGTGAACCAGTCAACACTAAATTTGGCGTGTAATGACGTTCTCCCTCCCCATCAAATTAATTCAATTATTTATAAATACGTTTGTAGTTGCGGAGCCGACTACATGGGGCGAACAACTCAACGCTTAGACATGAGAAGAAAACACGTTCCTACAAAAATTAGAAATCACACCTTGCCATTGAATGGACTCGTCCTGAACACCTATGGTTCCGTCATATGCGAACACCTATTAAAGAACAGAGATTGTGCAGCCAAATTTAGTGCTGACTGTTTCAGTCTGAAGTCGGACGACCGGCTGAACACTGCCTTCGGGCGAGGAGGAACCCGAACGAGGCTACGCCGAAGGGCCGAGTCTCTTTCGGGGAGGTAAACCGACCCTGAACCCGTTTATACGGTTCAAAGGGCATATTTTTGGCAGAACCCACGGGCTCGGAGATCCCACGTTAAACCGGCCTTGTACCACATGATAACCTCGTGGGAGGGGGCGGTGACTAAATACTAGTGCTGACTCGTTCACCGTGTTGTCCCGGTCACACTATTTCATCTAAAGTTTCTGGAGGCACTTTACATCGGGTCCCTTAAGCCTTCTTTGTGTAAACAACGTGAGTGTTTGTTGGGGCTCGCAGTCATTTGTCTCTAGTTCCTTTTGCTAATTTTTTTTTTATTTTCTTCCCACAACTTAATATCTTTTTTTTTCCACATTTTCTGTGTTAATTTTAAATTAAATTCCGGTTGAAGCCTGAAGTTCGGGAGCGAAATTTTGTTTTGCCCGTTTTTTAATATATCTCGTAATATTAAGCTTGATACTTTTATTTCGATGATCATATATATATATATATATATATATATATATATAATATTTGTTAATCCGTATGGATAATTCCCAAAACGATATAAATCTAGAGAGCACAATGGAAGAAATGAGAGCAAATAATAATTATTTAATGAAAACGAACACTTAAAAGACCATGGTGATGTTTATTTCGTTGGGATCGAAGATACGATTCTAACGGAAATAAATTCTAACGAAATAAAACTAAACTAGCGCTATTCCCAATGGCAAAGTTTCATGCTATCACTCCAAATAGTATTTGACCTCTTTTAGTATGCTTTACCTATAAAAGAATCCGATTACATTAAAAATGGTGCCGGCGTGCCATATCTAGGTCGGAGCTGCTCAATTCTAACTTTCCATTCTTGTTCAAAATCGTTTGCACGTCTTTGTTTGGGGCGGGGGAGACTTAACTTACATTCTTAAGCATTCCCCCCCCCAAAAAAAGATGCCACGTCGCAAACCTCTCTTTATTCTGCAGTTGTTTCCATGACAAATATCAATGCTATCAATTTAAAACTTACCCGATTCTTCTCGCTATATTGTACCTTTTACAAGAATCAGATTAGACCAAAA